CCTCGTACATGGAGGATGAAGGTAAAGGTAAGATCTATTATCTTATTTTAAAAAGCAATATCTAATAAATTATGTACGTATGAATAAATTACATACTTTATTGTACACCACAAACAAACTTACAAATATCATAACAAAAAAGCAGATTATATGTACCATTTGGCGGCCTTATCGCTACGTAGCGATCTCTTCCAGGCAAACAAAGGTGTAAAGGAATAAAATAATGAACACTGTGTAGGTGGTGCAATATAAATGTACATAATATAATATCAATACATGCGATATATAGACAAAACATGCAATAAAATAACATATATAATCAACAATATATAAACAAACTTAGATAACTACCCATATATACATATATACATGTTGGCGACGCGCCTATAAGAATATTTCAGTTTATTAAGATAACCGATTACGAATAGCTTCTAAAAAGCAAATTATCAAGTAACAATATTCCGATAAGAAAATGCTTAGTTGAATCTTAAAGAAATATCGAATTAATGATATGAAGGTCTTGGGTTCGACTCCCAAGCCGGAGTCATTTATCGTTTTCTTAGTAATATCTCTTAATAAATTCGTATAGGGAATTTTAAGATATAAATTAAGCTACCGGATTTGTTCCCCGGTTGAAATCATCTTTCCAATGATGTAAATTCAAAGGAATATTAAAGTGAAGTTAGAGATCGGATTTGTTCCCCGGTCGAGATGATCACTCTGTGCATAAATAGAATTAACGGAAATTAATTGCATAAGTATTGCCTTATATGAGTTTGATATGTTTTGTATGAAAATAAATGCCTATTTGCTATGATTGATTTATGAGAACAATCACTTATATTGTTATCTGATAAGAAACATGATAACTGATAAGAATCTGATTAGAAATAGTTTCCTACAGTTGGAAAATTGTGTAGAAGCATTTATTCACCTAATACTGTCGATATTGGTGTATATTGAACTTTTCATTTTTTCTGATAGTCGAGAGCCGTGCAAAGTTAGTTGTTCAAAGAGTGTGAGTTCACGGACGCACGCTAGCCACGCCCTTAGGAGGCCAAATATGTAAAAATTTAAATATTTGTGATTTCAGCAATTTATGTAAAAATGACTTGTAAAACATTTCAGGTTGATTGTACGTGCTAAAAAGGTGAATTCTGTGTTATTTTTATGTGAAAATTCCTGTGTATAAGTGAAATAATGATAGTTTTGTATAAGAAATTTAAAAATGTTTTAATACTGAAATGAATAGGAAAAATGTAAATTAAACTGTTGTATTGGTTAACTTATGTATAATTTCAAGTGGAAAACATTGTTTTAACTTTCTATGTTAAATATTTAAGAAATTTCAACTTCGAACTTGTGAGTAAAATAGGCATATTTTGTTAAATAAATAAAAGGTTTTTTGTGATATGAAAATGTAATGAAAATGTAATGTATATCGTAATGTAGATATTGTTTTGTGCTATCTATACAGGTAAATTATGTTGATGTATGACTTATGCAAATAAAGTAATTAAGTAAAACGTGAGAGAGTAATAGAACAAATTCATGTAATTGAGTTGCGCAAGCGCGCGAATGGCGCGGCTCACTTTCGCGTATAGCTCTGGGGTAGCTCAGTAAACGAGTTTTCTTGCAATTCGTCCCCTCCAGCCATCGCCCCATTAGCCTCCTCAAGGCAATGGGCAAGCTCTTCGAAAGAGTCATCCAAGCGCCTATGAGGCGCTATCTGTTTCCCACAGACGGCGACCCTCTTATCATTCCCCATCAATTCGGTTTCCGAGCCAAACACTCATGTCCCCAACAGGTTCACCGCATTGTGGAATATATCCTCAGCGGCTTCTACCCCCGTCGTCATAAGACCATCGCGGTCTTCTTCGATATAGCCAAAGCTTTCGATAGAGTCTGGCACACAGGCCTCATCTATAAGCTCTACAAAATAGGTCTCCCCGATCGTCTAGTTCGTCTCGTGGCCTCCTATTTAAAACATCGTACCTTTCGTTTTAGACACGAAGGCACGCTTTCTTCACAGCGAACTATCAAGGCTGGTGTCCCTCAGGGCTCAGTACTTGCTCCTCTGCTGTACATCCTGTTCACCAACGACATTCCCATCCGTCGAAAGGTGTTCAACTTTCCCTCTTCGCAGACGACACTGCCATCTACTGCAAAGGTGTCTCACTACCCTTCATACGGAACAAGATCCAAAAGTCAGTTGATGACCTAGGAGCTTGGTTCAAAAAATGGCGCATCGATGTGAACCCGGAGAAGAGCTCCGCCGTTCACTTCGATTATAAACGACGCCGTCTCAAAAACACTCCACCAATACGTATGCTAGGGACCCCTGTCCCCTGGCATACGTCCGCCAAATATTTAGGTGTCACTCTAGACACAGGGCTCACTTTCAAGCCCCACGTCAAAAGAGTAACCCGTCACGCACGATTTTATCTGAGTAGGCTCAACAGTATGTTGGGCCGACACAGTAAAATATCCCTTCGAAACAAGCGTACCCTTTACAAGGTCTGTATACGACCAGTCATGTCCTACGCGGGCCCCGTCTTTGCCCACGCAAACCCCAATATTTTAAATGAACTCCAAATAGTTCAGAACCTCTTCTGTCGTCGAGCTGCGAACGCACCTTGGTACGTCCGTAATGCCGACCTTCATCGGGACTTAGAGCTCCCAACAATTCAACAATTTTTTAAAAAACTCTCTGAGAACTTCTTCAAAGCCTCAGAGTCGCACCCAAACCATTTAATTCGTGAGGCAGCTTCTTATGCCGCCCCACCCCCCTCGCGCTATCGTGTCCGCAGGCCGAGAAACTCTCTCTCGGACCTGCCTAATAAACTTTCAAACGACCTGAACTGTCTCCTGGCGGCTCAGGCCAACTCTAATTAAATTAAATTATTGTAATAAATAACATTAATTTGCCTTCGTAGGCACTCACTCAGCGGCACTTAGCCGCCTGCGCCCTCTTTTCCCAAAAGAGGGTCGCTCATGATAAGGCACAATAGAGCTTAATCAGCCGGTTGCCTGTCCCCAAAGGCGGTTTTTAGAGGGTATCACTTAGGGTCCCCGGTAGGACAGTGAGCCCCTCATAACCACGATAGACCGGCTATCGTGGTATGCGTAATGCATTTTCCGCCTCCCTACGCATAGGGTAGCCCTTTAATTGCTTCGGGCGCAAAAAAAAAAAAACTTGCAATTCGTTCGGGAATCCTTCGGGAAAGTTCGGGGAAGTTCGGAGAAACTTCGGGAAAAGTGCAAGACCAGCAGTCAATAAGAAGAAGAAAGAAAAAGTGTAGGGAAGTGATAGGGAAAAGTAATTACTCTCTCACGGAATGGTTTGAAGATAATTGCTGTTTTATTCCCAAGGAATTCATCCCTCAAAATTATACAGTCCACATCGAAGAATTAAGGCGTTGGGACCGGGACGACTTCGGAAGACCCGTAATCCCCGCCTGAACCTATTTTCTGAAAAGGAAGAGGTTATCGCCCTTGTGTGTTACTCCGTTGCGGAGATCACATACGTTGTTCCCGAACCCAACGTAGGCGTTACAGGAGGCCAGATCGAGAGAAGCCTCGATTCCTCCCTTCTGTTTCTTAATCCCCTCGTTGGTTCCTTTTCAATTGGACCTTCGGAGCCGGATTAAGAGGACCACCGAAGCCGCTGGTTCCTTTTCAATACACGTGTATGCATATTACAAAATTCATCAAACAATAATATAAAGCAAATATATACAATAAATCCATAATCACATAATTTATCCTAACGGTGTTCGAACGATTGAGACAAGCTATAGATTACAATACTTTGTGCTTCACGTATATGCAAAGGTAGGGCATTCCAGAGCTTATTAGACTGGACAGTAAAAGATTTATTAAAAAAAATATATTAAGTTAAAAAAAATCATTGTGTGTTTCCAAAGCCAGCTCACACACTGATCGAGGTCAGGCAAGGTTCGGTAAGGTTATGTAAGGCGAAGTAACACGAGGTGACGCGAGGAAGTGTCCGCCTACACACTCGCCTTTGCTCTCTTTCCCCCTGTTTCACCGACACAGTGGATGTGCGGGAAGTGGCAGCTGCATCGGTTTTACTCGTATTTATACGTTTGGTGAACATTAATACAGTTCTTATCAATGTTTTCTAACCATACGTATAAAAATTAATAAAACTATACTTCTATTGAAGTTTATTTTGGCTTTAAGTCATTTATTGAAATTCCTATAATACCGTCAATTCTCTACCACGTATTCTTGACTTTGATTTTATCTTTGTGGTTCCAATTTTATGTCTCTCGTGATACTGGGTTTGTGTAATAAAATTCCACAAACTTGGCTAACTTTTGTGTGTCTTACAAAGGCTAGAGGACTCCTGTCCTCTATATCTAGTGCAAAGTTGATCAAGTTCGCACAAGAGTCATTATTCCCTTGTGTGTCTATGTCGTCGCATCCCCTCGTTTCTCGTACCCATAAGGGTGGTTTTATCGTCACGCCGCTAGGCGCGCCGCTGGGCAGCGTGCTGTTAACAGCGCGCGCTTGGACAGCGGTGCACTATAAAACGAGATTTGTACCGCGCGTTCCGCCTGATCCCTCTCGCTATCGAGTCCGCAGGCCGAGAAACTCTCTCTCGGACCCGCCTAATAAACTAACAAACGACCAGAACTGCCTCCTGGCGGCGCAGGCTAACTCTAATTAAATTAAATTATTACTCACTCATAATTAATTTGCCTTCGTAGCCACTCCCTCAGCGGCTCGTAGCCGCCTGCGCCCTCTTTTCCCAAAAGAGGGTCGCTCACGATAAGGCACAATAAAGCTTAATCAGCCAGTTGCCTGTCCCAAAAGGCGGTTTTTAGAGGGTATCACTTAGTTCCCCGGTAGGATGTGAGTCCCTCATAACCACGATAGACCGGCTATCGTGGTATGCGTAATGCATTTTCCGCCTCCCTACGTATAGGGTAGTCCTTTATTTGATTCGGGCGCAAAAAAAAATACGCGTTCCGATGCTGTGAGACAGTCGTGCACAAAATGTCTCACGTTAGTGCTCTTAAAATACTGGCTGTTTACATTTTATGGAAAAGGCAACACCGATTTAGAAGAAGAGAAGTTGATCCTTATAACGCTACAAGATTACTGAGAGGCGAACAAGTAACATCCTTCTCCGATTTACGAGGTATAAATTTTATAAATATTTTCGCCTATCAACAAGCAGTTTCGACGAATTACTCTGCAAGTTAGAGTTTTCTTTACGACGATCCAGCTTACGTTGCATCCCCATAACCCCTGTGGAAAAATTGGCGATCACTCTAAGATAAGTGAAATAAAAGAGTATTGAATAACATTAACATTTTTAATCAGTCTTATTTTAATCACACTCTAATTTTGTGTCCCATAAACAGCTTCTAAACCGCACTTCCTCAATTACTCGTCTCGTATCGATGTGATTTTGTACACCACAGTACCTAACGGCGCGTCTCAACGGCCTCACACTAAAACGCATACTGGATATGGATACTGGATGTAGAGGCGCCCGAGCGGCGCGCGTTTCGGCAGCGACGTTGAACACGCGCGTTTACCGAACGGCGCTGCTCAAGCGCGTGACTTTGAAACGCAACTACAAACCCAATACATATCTGAACGCGCGCGCACCAACAGCGCTGCCGAGACGCGTAACGATAAAACCAGCCTAAAACCGACCGAGAGGCGCGATGTAGTTAAACAAATACATATCCCGTGTGAGATTCAAATCTGCGGCCCGTGGCATCGCAGCCCTCGATAAGTTACTGTTTTACCTATCTTTCGATATAATCAAAAGATATTTTGAATATATGGGCGTTAAAATTTGGTTTCGACATAAACACTTGGAATATACATATGGTTTAAGGACAAGTATTTGTTATAAATCATTATATTTAACTTTACGGAAAACATTTTTACGTGGTAGCCACTCAGCAGTTTTATCATAGCTGCAGTCTTTAATGCCGTTATTTAAATTTTGAATGGGTTGTCTCGACCAAGGAAGGACGAGACTCTCACGGAGTATAAGCAAGAATAATAGCATGTTCTGTGATGTTGATTATAAAGAACTGAAGACCTTTTTAACTACTAAAGAGGAATTCCGTTTTAGGCTTCAGGACTTACAAACGCATCTCTATTTTGATTCTTAATTCAAAAGATATCTTTGAACCGTAGCATTCACTTACAGTGACAGAACAGTGTGTTCGTTTTTTTTTAAAGTACCATTACAACCTATCAAAAGTTCACGGCTGAACATAGGCTATCCTGTAGATTGCCTCAAAGGGTGTTTGACATAGTTTCACACAAAATTTAAAACATTCATTATACAAAGCTGAGTTTTTATATTTATGTTGACGTAAAAGAATGTATTTATTATCTAAAAAAATAGGAAATAAAATACAATGGCAACTTAGTCAATGTGACGTGTGAGCTTGGTGATCTCCATAAGTTTTTAAAGCGTGGGATAAAGCTTGACACCGCTACTTCCATTTCTTGTTCCACATTGATCTTTCATTGATGTTTGGTCTTTATTTACAGCTACAGCTGAAAATGCAGTTAACTTTGAACCCGCGAATACCTAAGTTTAGTTTCCAGAGAATGGTAAATAGGAGCGCCTCACGGCGCCTCTCCTTACTCTCTACATAACTTGAAGTAGTGGATACTTATATTTCTAGTCACTACACAGTTAATAATTCTACAAAATAAATCGGTTAAAATTCGATAAATAAATACATTAGAAATACCAATAAACGGTTGGAATTCGAATAACTCTTATTGATGTATCTTCATGTAATTATATTTTTTTAATAACGAATACTGCAGAAATTTTCTTGCCTTAACTGAAGCAATTAATTTACTGTCGTAAAGAAAAAACGACGCTTACAATATCACCATCTCTTTTTACAACGTTGCTTAAGGCTAATTTGTAGAAGCACTTATCTGTGTCAGCACAAGTTCTGTATAAAGATTTGCGATTAATTCCAACGGTGGATTTGGCTTTAACCTAGACATCAAGAACTTTTGTGACCGTCTTTTCGAACACAATTCCATATTTACATTGATATGGATGAAAATTCTTTCAGATTTGTAACAGCGCTCAATGTTACTAGGTAGTAGGTAATAATATTAATGATTATGAACGGTCTCCACCCATGATATAAATTTATTTATTTGTAAAACCAGTTTAAAACCCTGTTATGTACATTGTTTTTTTTTCTGTGTAAATAAATAAAATATAATGTAAGTGAAAAAATTGTTTTTATTTTATAATTCATTCAAAACATATAATAGCGTGAAATTATATTTGCTCGAAATACCAAACCATCACTTGTACATACCTCTTTTGCTCGTTGTTGTTTTGTAAGAAGTCTGAGCGTTGCTGTTCACGGTGTCCTCAACATCAAATAAGTCATTTACTTCTACTGCAATGTTGTGGAGCACTACACTACCCATTATGATATTGGCGTGGGTCGAAAGTTTGGTTGCTAAACCAATTTGTAAACATGGAAACCGTCTTTTCAATACTCCAAATAAATATTCCACCGAATTTCTTGATTTTATTTGCACCGTATTATATCTCTCCACTTATGTAGTTCTGGAATTTGATACCGTAGTCATAAAATATCTGAAATAAAAAAACTCTTTGTCGTTAACAAATTAGTGATATTGTTGTGAGGTATTTATGATGATATGAAAACCACATGGCACATAGTATTGATACGACTGTTATATCAATACTACAGTTGGGAGCGGGGCCCCCAGTCCCCGGCGGCCCCGCTATTCCTGGCTACGGTGGCGACCATGGTAACAGCGGGGCAGGGGGTGCTAAGAATCTCCGGTGGAGGTTCGGTAGCCACCTACGACGGCTCGACCTGGCAACATATAACGCACGCACTCTGAGGACTGACGAGAAGATACTGGAGCTGGAAGAAGAAGTAGACAAGTTGCGCTGGCATATTATTGGATTATCCGAGGTCCGAAGGGAGGGGGAGGATACGGCAATCCTCGAGTCCGGCAACTTGTTCTACCTCCGGGAGGGCGACCATCTGTCCCAAGGAGGTGTCGGGTTGTCCACAAGTCTCTCATTAACAACGTTGTAAAGTTATTTTTATTATTATCCCGACGTTTCGGGTGCTTTACAGCGCCCATGGTCACGGGGAGGACTGAGATGTTTGACGTCCCAATATCATAGTTAGTCCGGCTACCTTCAGTTTTTTAATATTAATATTTTTGTCCGATTTACGCAAAACGAGCTTATAGTATCATGAAGTCTTGCAGTGGTATGCTCGGGTTTGGGTTTAATTTTGTTAATTATAGGATCCCAAGCAGATTGTAGCACCCAACCATCTTCTCTATTGAAATTTGGATGTTTTTTAATTTCAATAGCTTCGCGTATCATCCTTGGTAGGAATCGGTGTTCTTTTGCGAGAATTTGTGGTTTATCAAATGTAATGTAATGGTGGGGACGATCTTGAACATGTTCGCAGACTGCAGACTTCCCGGAGCGTCGGTGCTTCACATCAGCTATATGTTCCTTCACGCGGGTTTTTATAGATCTCTTTGTTTGACCTATGTAAGAGAGACCACATTCACAATCTAGCTTATACACACCAGCATCTTGTAGAGGAATATTACATTTGATGGATGGTAAAAATTGACTAATCTTCTTCAGCGGCTTGTAGTATGTCTTAATGGACGCTCGCTTCAAGATGTAGCCAATCTTGTCCGTGACTCCTCTAACATATGGTAGTAGAGCAGGCGCGCACTCGACTGTGGCCGGCTTCACTCGTTCACTGTGACGTAGGCGCGGGACCCGAAGCTTGTTGTCTTGCAATACTTGCTTGACGTGCTGAAGCTCCGCGGCCAGATGTTTTCTGTCACAGATCCCTCGTGCTCTCTGAAACAAAGATTTACCCACGGTAGCTAACTGTGAAGGATGATGGTGAGATTCACCATTTAAATATCGGTTGGTATGGGTCTTTTTCCTATACACAGTGTGACCAATAGTGTTATCAGGATTTCGGATGACTAAAACATCTAGGAAAGCTAACGAATTATTTGCCTCTAACTCCATTGTGAATTGTATTTTAAGTTTATGGAGTTAAGGTGGTCTAAAAATGTAGTTACTTTGTCAGATGGTAAAATTGTGAAAGTGTCGTCTACGTACCGCTTATAGAACCTTGGATTTACAGGAGCAGTAAGAAGGGCTTTCTCCTCAAAGTCCTCCATGAATATGTCGGCGACTATGGGAGACACAGGTGAGCCCATCGCCACACCATCTACTTGCTTGTAGAACTCCTCCTTCCACAATAGATAGCCAGATGTGAGGCAATGTTCAAGTAGTATTGCATATTCTTGAGGCATGTTATTTTCTTCTAGCTTCCTAGTTACAATTGAGATGCAGTCCACAATAGGTAGGCATGTAAATAGTGACTGAACATCAAAACTGACCATAGTTTCATTGTTAGCGAGATGTAGGTCTTTTATCTCACTCACAAAATGGTATGAATCCTTTGTGTGTGCTCTGGTATGTCCTCTTAGTGGTGATAGTATTTTTGCTAAGTATTGTGCCAGCTTATAAGTTGGTGAATCGATCTGGCTCACTATGGGACGTAGTGGAGCGTTTGGTTTGTGTATCTTCGGTAACCCATACAACCTCGGTGGTTTGGCACATGATGGTATTAGCGAATTCACGTCGAGATTTAATTTTTCGGAGTATTTCTTTATTAAATCGCTAGTTGTTTTAAACGTGTTAGTTGTAGGGTCTGTTTTGACTTTTATATATGTACTTTCGTCCGATAAAAGTTGTTGTATTTTAAAATTATATTCCGACGCGTCCATTACTACCGTAGCATTTCCTTTATCCGCGCGGAGAATCGTGAGTTCTGGTCTGTTCCGTAAGTTATTTAGCGCTGTAAATTCGTCTTTGGGAAGGTTTGGTTTCGGCACTGAACTACGACGTAACAAGGACGAAATATCTTGACGTATGGCCTCCAAATCTTCCTTACCGATATTATTCTTAAACAGACAATCCTCAACACTGCAGATAATTTCTTCGTACGGGATTTTTCGCGGAGTTAACGCGAAGTTCATTCCCTTCGCTAATACTTTCATTGTCGAACAAAAACGAAAATTTATATCTAAGTAATTTATCAAAATGTAAAAATCCCGTCATGTCTTTAAAATTTCTGTCGGTATTCCCCTTATGCACCTTATATTTTTAATTTGAAACATGTATGCGAAAAAGATTAACTTTTCGGTTCATCGGCTTGTGAACATGGCGCAAGGCGTCTATTCCAATTAGGGAGATAACAGGCAATTCCGGAGCTCGCCGGCAGACTGTGGAATTAACGTGCTCTTCATCGCGTTATAACGAAGTGTAATTATTAACATGTGGTACATCTGTAGGTTAAATTCGCTTTAGCGGCTCTGCGATCTCCTAGACTTTGTGTTTTTTGTTTTCTTCGCAATACTCTGTATTTTTATTCAACTTTAATTAATTATGAGCTCATTCAATAACTTGCTGAGCTCGTGACATAATCCGAGCTGATGCGAGACAAACGAATGATATCTATGGAACCGTTTAATATAATAATTATTATTAAACTGATATATAAACTAAGTTGCTCATAGCGTACATTTTACAACCCGCTTAAATATATTAAAGAGTTTT